TTTGGACTTGAATTTTGTGCATGGTGATAGATATGGGTCTATTTTCATTCTTCTACATGTTGATATCCAGTTATGCCAGGACCATTTGTTAAATATACTTTCTTTTTTTCCATTTGATATTTTTTGCTTCTTTGTCAAAGATCAGGTGTTTGAAGGAGTGTAGATTGATATCTGGGTCTTCTATTTGGTTCCATTGCTTCTCCTGTCTGTTTTTATGCCAATACCAGGCTGTTTTCAGTACTGTATCTCTGTAGTAGAGTTTGAAGTCAGGGATTGTGATGCCTCCAGAAGTTTTTTTATTGTACAGGATTGTTTTGGCTATCCTGGGGTTTTTGCTTTTCCATGTGTAGTTGAGTACTGTCCTTTTGAGGTCTTTGAAGAATTTTGCTGGGATTTTGATGGACATTGCACTCAATCTGTAGATTGCTTTTGGTAAGATTGCCATCTTTGCTGTATTAATTCTGCCTACCCAAAACCATGGGAGATCTTTCCACTTTCTGGTGTCTTCTTCAATTTTTTTCTTCAAAGATTTAAAGTTCTTGTCATACAAGTCTTCCACCTGTTTAGTTAGAGTTACTCCGAGATATTTTTATGCTATTTGTGACTATTGTGAAGGGTGTTGATACTCTGATTTCTTCCCTATCTGTGTACGAGAGGGCTACTGATTTTTTGAGTTAATCTTGTATCCTGCTACACTACTGAAAATGTTTATGAGTTGTAGAGGTTCCTTTGAAACATTTTTGGTGTCGCTTATGTAAACTATCATATCATCAGCAATTTGACTTTTCCGATGTCTATCCCTTTGATCTCCTTTTGGTGTCTTATTGCTAGGACCTCAAGAACTATATTGATTAGATATAGAGAGAGTGGACAACCTTGACTTGTTCCTGATTTCTATGGAATCGCTGGGAGTTTCTCTCCATTTAGTTTGATGTTGGCTGTTGGCTTGATGTATATTACCTTTATTATGTTTAGGTATGTTCCTTGTATTACTGCTCTCTCCAAGACCTTTATCATAAAGGGATGTTGTATTTTTTTTAAAAAAAAAGATTTGTTTATTTATTATGTATACGGTGTTCGTTCTGCATGTATGCCTGCAGGCCAGAGGAGGGCACCAGATCTTATTACAGATGGTTGTGAGTCACTATGTGGTTGCTGAGAATTGAACTCAGGACCTTCGGAAGAGCAGGCAGTGCTCTTAACCACCGAGTCATCTCTCCAGCCAGCAAGGGATGTTGTATTTTGTCAAAAGCTTTTTTGGCATATAATCAGATGATCATGTGGTTTTATTTTTCAGTTTGTTTTTAGTGTGAATTACAGTGACAAATTTTCATATATTGAATCATCCCTGCATCTGTGGGATGAAGCCAATTTGGTCATGGTGGATGATGGTTCTGATGTGTTCTTGGATTCAATTTGCTAATATTTTATTTAGTATTTTTGCATCAATGTTCATGAGTAAGATTGGTCTGTAATTCTCTTTCTTACTAATGTCTTTCTGTGGTTTGGGCATCAGGGTAATTGTAGCCTCATAAAAAGAGTTTGGCAATGTTTCCTTTGTTTTTATTGAGTGGAATGATTTGAGGAGTATTGGTATTAGTTCTTTTGAAAGTCTTGTAGAATTCTGAGCCGAAACCATCTGGTCCTGGGCTTTTTATTTTTATTTATTTATTTATTTTGGTTGGGAGACTTTTGATGACTGTTTCTATTTCTTCAGCAGTTATAGGTCTATTTAATTTGCTTATTTGGTCTTGATTTAATTTTAGTAAGTGATGTTTATCTAGAAAGTTGTCCATTTCCTTTAAGTTTTCCAATTTTGTGAAGTACAGGTTTTCAAAATATGACCTGATGATCCTCTGTATTTCTTTCTTGTCTGTTGTTATGTCTCCCTTTTCATTTCTGATTTTGTTAACTTGGATAGTCTTTCTCTGCCTTTTGGTTAGTTTGGATAAACATTTGTCTATTTTGTTGATTTTTCTCGAAGAACCAACTCTTTGTCTCATTGATTGTATTGTTTTCTTTGTTTCCATTTTATTGATTTCAGCTCTCAATTTGATTATTTCCTGCTGTCTAGTTCTCCTAGGTGAGTTTGCTTCTTTTTGTTCTAAAGTTTTCAAATGTTCTGTTAATTCACTAGTGTGGGATTTTTCCAGCTTTTTTGTGTAGGTGTTTAGTGCTATGAATTTGCCTCTTAACACTGCTTTCATTGTGTCCCATAAATTGTATGGTCATTTTCATTGCATTTTAGGAAGTCTTTAATTTCCCCCATTTATTTCTTCCTTAACCCATTAATGAGCAATGTTTAATTTCTATGTGTTTGTGGGTTTTCTGGAATTAGGATTGCTGTTGACTTCTAGCTTTAGACCATTGTGATCTGATAAGGTACAATGGATTATTCCATTTTTTTTTATTTGTTGAGGTTTATTTTGTTACTTTTTTTTGTCAATTTTTGAGAAGGTTCCATGAGGTACTGAGAAGGTATATTTTTTGTTTGGATGGAATATTCTATAGATGTCTGTTAAAGTCTATTTGAGTCATAATATCTGTTGTCTTATTTCTCTGTTCATTTTTTTGTCTGATTGACCTGTCCAGTGGTGAGAGTGCAGTGTTGACGTCTCCCACTATTAGTGTGTGGGATTTAATATATGATTTAAGCCTTAGAAGTATTTCTTTGACATATGAGGGTGCCCTTGTATTTGGGACATAGATGTTCAGTATTGAAATTTCCTCTTGATGGATTTTTCCTGTGACTAATATGAAATGACCTTCTTCGTCTCTTTTGACTGATTTTAGCATGAAGTCTATTTTCTTAGATATTAGGACAGCTACACCTGCTTGTTTCTTAGGTCCATTTGATTGGTATATTTTATATAATTTATATAATTCTGATAGGGGTACCTTTATATGTTTCTTGGCCTTTTTCCTTTGCAGCTCTTAATATTCTTTTTTTAAAATGTTTTTCTTTATTATTTATTATGTATACAGTATTCCGCCTGCATGTACACCTGTAGACCAGAAGAGGGCATCAGATCTCATTACAGATGGATGTGAGCCACCATGTTGTTGCTGGGAATTGAACTTAGAACCTTAAGAAGAACAGTCAGTGATCTTAACCTCTGAGCCATCTCTCCAGCCCCCTTATAGTCTTTCTTTACTCTTTTATTTAGTGTTTTGATTATTATGTGGTGAGAGGACTCTTTTTTTGATCCAGTCTATTTGGTGTTCTGTAAGCTTCTTGTATCTTCATAGGCATATCTTTCTTTAGGTAGGGAAAGTTTTCTTCTATAATTTTGTTAAATAAATTTTCTGTGCCTTTGAGTTGAACTTCTTCTCTTTCTTCTATGCCTATTATTCTAAGATTTGGCCTTTTTATGGTGTCCCATATTTCATGGATATTTTGGGTTAAGCTTTCGTTAGATTCAATGTTTTCTTTAACTAATGAGTCTATTTCTTCTATCGTATCTTTAATGCTTGAAATTCTCTCTTCCATTTCTTGTAATCTGTTGTTCATGCTTGCATTTGTGGTTCCTGGTCTTTTTCTCATGATTTCTGTTTCTATAATTCCTTTGGCTTGTGTTTTCTTTATTGTTTCTATCTCAGTTTTTAAGTCCTGAATAGTTTCTTTTATATGTTTAATTGCTTTTCTTGGTTTTCTTTAAGTGATTTGCTGATATCTTCCAATTTTTTGTTTGTTTTTTCCTTCATTTCTTTAAGGTAATTTCTCATTTCATTTTTAAGAATTTCTAACATTCTCTTGAGGTTATTTTTTAGATAATTTTCTTCTGGTTCATTCATATTTGGTTGTTTAGGTCTTGCTGTTGTAGGGTCTTTAGGTTTTACTGGTATTGTGTTGCTCTTTGTGGTGTAGCATGTGATCTTACCTTTTCTACTCATCTTTTCCTCTAATAGATGTGGTTGGGGCTGTCTGAGATTCTGTTGAATAATCTTCTAGGTGCCAGTGAATCCAAAGCTCAGATGGTTGTTCCTCATGGTACAGTCAGTGTCACAGTTCTAGTTACCCCGTTGGTTACTCCTGTTCCTGGAGATTGCTCGGTGCTCCTGTGCTTTGATCTGCTCCCTTGGAGTTTGCTGTCTCTGGCTTACTTTGGCCTTGGCTGCTGGCTTAGATCTGTTTCTGTAAATCCTGGTCTGAATCCCCTCTTGCAGAAGTCCCTGGCTTGGAGTTGGACCTCTTCTGGTGGAGATTGCTGACTCTGGATCTGGTCGCTGGCTCAGTCCTGATCCGCCAGTGTTCTGGGACTGGGTTGGCTCCCAGGACTGGATTTGCTCCTGACTTCTGCTCCCAGTGGAGCTTGTTTCCTCAGGCCCTCTCCATCCTAAGTGTCTTGTTCGGTTCCACTTCTGTGGAATTTCTTGCCCAAGGTGGAGTTCCTTGCTGAAAAGAAGGTATATTCTTTTCTGTTTGGATGGAATATTCTATAGATGTCTGTTAAGTCCATTTGAGTCATAACATCTGTTAGCTCTCTTATTTCTCCGTTCATTTTTTGTCTGATTGACCTGTCCAGTAGTGAGAGTGGAGTATTGAAGTCTCCCACTATTAGTGTGTGGGGTTTAATATATGATTTAAGCTTTAGAAGTGTTTCTTTGACATATGAGGGTGCCCTTGTATTTGGGGCATTCCTGTGACTAATATGAAACGACCTTCTTTGTCTCTTGACTGATTTTAGCATGAAGTCTATTTTCTTAGATATTAGGATAGCTACACCTGCTTGTTTCTTAGGTCCATTTGATTGGTATATTTCGCATCCCTTTACTCTGAGATGATAGAAAGACACCACTTAAAGATCAGCTTTGGAATACAAACTGCTCAGAACAATTTCGAGGTGACTACCTGAGATGGTCCAGCCTAACAGACTACTCTAGCCAGGACTCAAGCCCTGCCCTATACCGTTACGCAGAGCCTGGTAAACTGTGTATCTGGTAAATGATACAGCTACCTCTCCCAGAACTTGAGAGTTAATTCAAATTTTTCTTTTCAGGATCCCCTAAAGATATCATCACTTCCGGACAGCAGGAAGTAAATTTAAGAATACAACATCTGGGTGGTGGCTTGGGCAGGATACACGTGGTGCGGTACAAGATGATGGATGCAGAAGTAATTACTTTGCCAAAGAAGCATAAAAAGAAAAAAGACCGGAAGCCATTACGAGAAGATCATGTAGCTGAAATACAACATGCTGAAGACTTTCTTATCAAACCAGAATCCAAAGTGGCTCAATTGGACACTTCTCAGTGGCCCTTGTTACTAAAGGATTTTGATAAGCTAAATGTAAAGACAACACACTATACGCCTATTCCTTGTGGTTCAAATCCTTTGAAGAGGGAGATTGGGGACTATATCAAGACAGGTTTCATTAATCTTGACAAGCCTTCTAACCCGTCTTCCCATGAGGTGGTAGCCTGGATCCGACGAATACTTCGGGTAGAGAAGACAGGTCACAGTGGCACACTAGATCCCAAAGTGACTGGTTGTTTAATTGTGTGTATTGAACGAGCCACTCGTTTGGTGAAATCACAACAGAGTGCAGGCAAAGAATATGTGGGAATTGTCCGGCTGCACAATGCTATTGAAGGTGGCACTCAGCTTTCTAGGGCCCTAGAAACTCTGACAGGTGCCCTGTTTCAGCGACCCCCACTTATTGCTGCAGTAAAGAGGCAGCTTCGAGTGAGGACGATCTACGAGAGCAAAATGATAGAATATGATCCTGAAAGAAGATTAGGAATCTTTTGGGTGAGCTGTGAAGCTGGCACTTACATTCGGACACTTTGCGTACACCTTGGCTTGTTACTGGGAGTTGGTGGTCAAATGCAGGAACTTCGGAGGGTGCGTTCTGGAGTCATGAGTGAAAAGGACCACATGGTGACGATGCATGATGTACTCGATGCTCAGTGGCTCTACGATAACCATAAGGATGAGACTTACTTGCGGCATGTTGTTTACCCTTTGGAAAAGCTGCTGACATCTCATAAACGGCTGGTTATGAAAGATAGTGCAGTGAATGCAATATGCTATGGGGCCAAGATCATGCTTCCTGGTGTTCTCCGATATGAGGATGGCATTGAGCTCAACCAGGAGATTGTGGTCATTACCACCAAGGGGGAAGCTATCTGCATGGCTATTGCATTGATGACTACAGCAGTGATTTCTACCTGTGATCATGGCGTAGTAGCCAAGATAAAGAGGGTGATCATGGAGAGAGACACTTATCCTCGTAAGTGGGGTTTAGGTCCAAAGGCAAGTCAGAAGAAGATGATGATCAAGCAGGGCCTTCTAGACAAGCATGGCAAACCCACAGACAACACCCCTGCCACTTGGAAACAGGACTACGTTGATTACAGTGACTCTGGCAAGAAGGCAGCGGTTGCTGAAGCAGTACCAGCCCCTCAGTTAACTGCTGCTGCAGTAAAAGTCACAAAAAGGAAGTGGGAGAGTGACAGTGAAGGTGACGAGACCCCTCTAGGGGTCCCCCAGGTGATGGAGAAGGAAAAGAAGAAAAAGAAGGACAAGAAGCCTAACACTGTGCCAGAAGGTGGGGGCGAAGCTGGACATGGGGACAGTGATACCAGCAAAACGAAAAAGAAGAAGAAGAAAGTAAAAGCGGTGGAAGAGATATCTGAATAGTAAAAGCCACTTGAAGCATTATGTCAGGCTGGGAGGAGAAATGGAAGCCTTATTGAGAAAACATTTTGTTGAGGGAGTAGAACACAGAGCTCTGGGACACTTTCCTTGCCACTTACGATCTCGGTGGTTAGGGTGTGACCATCTTGTACTGTCCTGTTCTAAGGCTATGAGAGATGAAAAGCAGGTTTTTGCCACTGACCTCTCTGCTTGCTTGAGTGGGGGAACACACCTTCAGACATGAAACTGCCTAGTCACTGTCTGCAAATGTTTACTACTGGCCATTTTAAACAGTGTCATAGATGGTCCTTTCCTAATGTTTGTAAAAATTAAATCTGATGAATAAAATGGTATAGAACTTAAAAAAAATATAGCATCCACATTCCTAAGAGGTACGGTGGGTGGTTTTTTGGTCATTCAATGGGTTATGGATATTTGTCATTGTTTAGGGGGGTTGGTTACAAGTTGTTATTGGTTACAGTTAGGGGAAAAGCTAAACAAAGGAAATTAGATTCAAGGTTCTTATTTTGAAAAGAAAAAAAGGAGATATAAATATTATAGGATAAAAGGGTAGATTATTAAATCTACTCTGAAAAGAATAAAGGGAGGATATAGATATAAGATAAAAAGATAAATTATTGAATCTACTTTTAAAAAGCAACTATTAGCTTCAAATTTTTTACATTGGATTGGATTTTTATATATTGTATACAAATTTTGTATATTGATACAAATTTGAAATTAATTTTGTTAGAATATAAAATACATTTTTACTCTTGCTCAAGGTATTGTACCTATTAAACTCATTTAACAATGATGCAAATTTCTAGTCCTTGAAGATTTTTATTACCAGCTATTTAGGTAATAAGGAAATGCAGGTTAGTAGTTAATCATTTATTATAATTGAATATAATCACATTATATATATATATATATATTTTCAAGATCAAACAAAGATATATTTTAGATAGACAGGTCATCTACAAACACTTCAGAGAGCTACAGACTATGGCATTTAAGGTGTTTTCATAACATAAGGCTTTCATGATGGTGAGATACGTCTGCTCCTAGCAGCACCAATCTACTTCAGAGAAGATAATGGGCATTGAAGAAACTCCATATGGAGTTTACTTTATTTGTGGCAAAAATAAGCCACTGGGCAAGAAAATGCCCTTGCCTTGACTACTGACAGTATGTTGTCCTAATTAGACAAGCAGGACAAAAAGAAACTGACTGCCAAACATTGTCAAGACAAGGTAGGAGAGCCCTTCAGAATACCCTGCTTCAAAGAAAAGTCTGTCAAATATGCTAAGCCTGTCTACTGAAGGTGGGTGCCCCAGTGTTTCAGAAGAACTTTGGGTGACAATCCAGGCAGCCAGCTCTTTCTGTCATTTCTCACAATTTTGGGAGTTTGCTTCTGGCACTTCCTGTTTACTCAGTTAATATTATTTCTTTCTTAGGTCTCTGAGGGAGTTGAAGACTAGATAGTTATAGTTTTCCTTGTTTACCAGATGCAGAAAGCAAGTTATGATAGAAAGGAAATTAGGTACAAGAATTTGGACTCACCAAGATAAGATAGATATGAAGTATTTTCTCTGAATTTGTGAGATGCAAATGAACTAGACATTGTTGATCTATTTATTGCCTGTATGTAGTTATTGTACTTATTGTATATAGTTTTTCTTATAACCTTTCTTTTAGAAAAGGGGGAAATGTGATATTTCATTTGTATTTTAATAAATAGAACTTATCTGAAGATAGGTGCAAAACAGCCACACTAGTCAGCCATAGAGGCCAGGCAGTGGTGGCACATACCTTTAATCCCAGCACTAGAGAAGAATATAAAGAGAGATGAGACAGGAACTCACTCTCTTTTTCAGTCTGAAGAACTCTCTAGTGGCTTGGCTGCTTTGCTTTTCTGGTCTTCGGGTTGAACCCCAATATCTGTCTCTGGGTTTTTATTGTTCATGCTACACCTATTCTTAGTGATTCTCCTCTTTTTTTTTTTTTACTTTTTTTTAAAGATTTATTTATTACCTATACAGTGTTCTGCCTGCATGTATGTCTGAAGGCCAGAAGAGGGCATCAGATCTTATTACAGATGGTTGTGAGCCACCATGTGGGTGCTGGGAATTGATCTCAGTACCGCTGGAAAAGCAGCCAGTGTTCTTAACCTCTGAGCCACCTCTCCAACCCCATGATTCTCCTCTTAAGAAGTCACTTAAAGAAATTGGAAGACTTTGAATCAAGAGTTGAAGGAGTGAGAATGAAGAGGTTAGTGTGGGGTAGGTATCTAGTTGACAGCTGTACATTGAAAGGGATTGGAGTGGACAGATTGGTGTGGGTTCGTGTTGGGAAACCCCAAGAGGGAAATTAAAAGCAAAGAAAGGGTGATGGCACAAATTGAAGAGTACCATGACTTTCAAATAATCTAAAAACATAGTATATAATAAAGTTTAGGGTCCAGTGATGATGGTGTGCCAGAAATCAGAGGTCTTAAGAATGAACATTTTCAAAGAAAGCAGAATGGACAAAAGGCATGCTGGGTGACATACCTCAGCTCCCACTTCCACTCAAGAAGAGGTGCAAGAGGAGTGGGGGGTGGGAGAGGGGGTGGGGGGTGGCACATACCTTTAATCCCAGCACTCAGGGAGGAAGGGGCAGGCAAATCTCTGAGTTCAAGGCCAGCCAGTTCCAGGTCAGCCAGGGCTGCACAGAGAAACCCTGTCTCGAAAAAACACAGACATACTCACACTCAAGCAAAACAACGTTAGGAACAACAACAACAAAAAGACGAGCCAAGAGGACTTTTTTGTTTTGTTTTGTTTTTGTTGTTTGGTTAGTTGGTGGGTTGATTGGTTTGGTTTGGTTTGGTTTAATTTTTCTTTTTAAATTTTCTTTTGTGGGGGCAGGGTGAAGAGTGGGCATGGGAGGAATGGGGAATTGGGACACATGATATGAAGATCCCAAAGAATTAATTAAGAAATTATGTTAAAAAAAAAGAATAAAGTTTAGGGTCAGCAGGATGCCTCATCATTTATAGGCACCTGCCAAGGAGTCTGACAGCTTGAGTTCTATCCCCTGGCCCCGTACAGAGAAGAGCCGACTCCTGACCTGCACATGAATATTATGGAAAGTGCTCAAACACACGTTCACATGCACAACAAGCAAACACGTAAATGTGATAAATTCGATAGTTTAATCCTGGAGGTAGGAACTGCCTGTAGTTCCAGTCTGAGAAGGTACTTGGAGGATCTGGAGCTCACGGTCATCCTCCTTTACTCAGGAGACCTCATTTCAATAGACAAGCATGATTTAAAGAATGGTGCGTTGTTTGCTCTTGGGAGACAGAGGCAGGAGAGTCCACAAGTTCGGGGCCACACGGCCGCACTGTGATACTTTTCCTCAAAAAGCCGAGATAAGCAAATAAACAATTCAATGTAGGTTGGTTGTAGTTTTCTCACAGCATAGAAAGTGCTGCAGCAAGCTGAAGGGCCTCCACAAGGTGGCGCTCTGACTACATCCATCGCTGAGACTGGCTTCCAGAGCACTTTATTCGTTTACTCCTTGCTCAGTCTTCAAGGGCCGTAACTAGAGGTCTGTCACACTCCAGCCATAGTCAGCCCCCCTATCATTAGTGCCAAGCCTTCCCCCTGGAGCAATGACAGTGTCAATTTCAGCAATGGCAACGAGGGAACAAATGCAGCTGTTGTGCCTTTTAGAGTAATTGCTACAGGCCCTTTGGAGACAGCATTATAACCACAGCGCTTATACAGACTTATACAGTATTTCAGTTTCCTGTTTTAAGCCCCGTTAGCATTCTGTGTCATGAACTTGTGAATCTAGCGAACTCATGGGAGTCTGGAATGATCTGCCCACACTTTTACAATGTGCTTGTGGTCCCCTGGAAGGCACTATCTTGCTGTCACTATGTTGCCTGTACTCAGGACAAAGATCACTCTTTCTAAACAAAAGAAAACAACAAATAAACAGAAAAACAAAACAAAACACAACCGAAAAACAACCCAAACCCCTGAGGTCTCATGTAGCCTGCACTGGCCTCCAACTCTCTCTGTAGTTGTAGGTGGCCTTGAGTTCTTAATCCACCTTCCTCTACTACCTCAGGGCTGGGTTTACTGCCCTGTGCTAAGGTTCTTAGTTTCTGTAGTGTCATGGATGGACCCCAGGGCTTATATGTGCTAGGCAATCACTCTACCAATTGAGTTATATCCCCGGTTTCCTAGCCACTGCCCCCACCCAAGATAGGGTCTTGCCTTATGTTCCCTATGTAGCCCAGACTGTCCTTGAACTTGCTTAATAGACTAAACTAACCTCAAATTTTCAGTGATCCTTTTCATTGATCTCCCAAAGGCTGAGATTAGAGGTATGTGTCTCCAAGCCTGGGTACAAAGGCCTCTTTCCTCTGCCCTGTCTGGCTTCTTCCTATCTACTTCTCCATCTTTTGGCTTTTTTGGAGGGCAGGGAAGGAGTTAGTTCAAGACAGGGTTTCTCTGTATAGCCCTGGCTGTCCTGGAACTTTCTCTGTAGACTGGGCTGGCCTTGATCTCAGAGAGCCTCTTGCCTCTGCCTCCTAAGTGCTGGGATTAAAGATGTGTGACACCACTGCCTGGCTAGGGAAGAAACCAGGAGGGTGGCTGTCTTTTCTCTGGTGTTTGAGAAAGAGCTCTGAAAGCTTCTTATCTTCAGTCTCCACCCCAGGTCTCTGGTACTTTCTTATCTTTTCATTTTTTACGTCCAGCACACTTCCTCACATAGTAAAGGAAGGAATGGACAAGTAAACAAACTAGCTTCTAAATTGGGTGTCATAACTCATGCCTGTAATCCTAACACTCAGGCTGCTAAGACAGGAGGATTGGCACATAGCCTTGACTGGCCCAGAAATCGTCCTGTAGACCAGGCTGGCCTTGAACTCACAGAGATTCACCTGGCTCTGCCTCCTGAATGCTGGGATTAAAGGTGTGCGCCACCACTGCACACTGTTCATTGCAAAGAGTCATTGGTCTAGTATGAGACCTCTGGTTTCTGCTACACTATTGATGTTAGGCCCTTACTGGGATTCCTCTTAGCTATCCTGTGGTTGTCCCGTGTCATGGAGGTCTTGCAACTTTGGGCCTGCAGGACTGACCCCTTCATGTGTTCCAGCAGATAGATGGGGTGGAGATTGGGGTGGGCCAATTCATAACCCTGATTCTGGGCCAGGGTAGTGCCGGGTTGGTCAGTCTGCCAGTTAGTTCTCCCCTGTCTTTGACACCAGGGTGAGATCTCTAGTATTGCCCTGGCTAGTTCACCCCTGGAAGCCATAAGCAAGGGGCAGAGCCAGTTTTCCTGCTTTCATAGCCTTGGGATCTGCTCTTCTACACCTACACCTTCAGGCCTAGCTCTATTATGTTGCCCATGAGAGGTGTGGGGGCCAC